GTGTGTGTGTGTGTGTGTGTGTGTGTGTGTGTGTGTGTGTGTGTGTGTGTGAGCAAGCGGATGTGGCAGTTACAATGGCCTACTTCCTTTAAACTAACAGCTTCCTAATTTAGCAGGCAGTTAGTGTAAAAATCTGGGCAAATGGTGTGGCAATAACCGAGAGGATTTCTTTTTTTAAATGACAATAATATAAAACATACGTTCACATTTACATCAATCAACCATGTTGAATCAGTTAACAATGTTAGAATGTGCAGTTACACCACATTCTGCCCAAAAAACTACACTACTCAGGATAGAGACAAAAGTATTCAAAAAGTACAATAATGTATAATAATGCAATGATACAATTTAAGGTTACACATGAAGTATCCCATTTGGAAGCAGCAGCTTCACAATGACTACATAGAACTCCTTAAATTACAGGAAGTCTGAGGTGTTCATGGAACCTCCAGACTCCTCAGATACCAATGTGATGGGATCCTCAACCCAGAAACCGCACAGCACTCAATGACACCTGAAAAATATTCTTCAGCCGAGTCCACTTCAAAGAAGAGCAACCAGAGTCCACATCCGGTGTCGACATGCTACTGTGTGGAAACAGTTTCCTTTCCTCACAATAAGGAAAGCAGGCTGCGTCTCCATGTTGGAGGTGTGGTTTTTTGGCATCATTTAAAATGAACAACATAAAATATCTGTTCTTTTTCTCCTCTAAAATCTGATTACCTGCATCAGGCCATGACAGCTTCAGCTGGTACAGACACAACACTGTCTTGGATCTAATCTTCATGCACAACAACTTGGAGTTATTCAAGTACCAAAACCAAGACGTTATTATATAATTAGTCGATAACTGAGGACTGTGTAAGGACGCGAGGAATTTATCTCCCACTTTTCATAAAAGATTCTCCAGTATTTCATGTGCTAAAGGATATGATAAAGAAAGTATTGAAGCTCTTCAAAATCTTAATAATTTAAACATTCATTGCCCCTTAAAAGCTTCCACATAATTTAATTCCATGAAACCTTCTTGAGTAAGAAAACAAAAAAAAGCCTCAACCCTCAGTCTTATTCCACATCACCCTTTAAACCCACTCTCTATGGCCTTTAATAAACTCCAAGCACTCATGGGCCAACTATAACGTCTGTATTTTACACAGCAGGACACAGCGTGCAATGCAACGTCTGCCTAAAGGCAAGCAGGAGTCGAAGGGCTCAGGTTGCTCCCCGAATTCCCCAAGTAGCAGCTAAAAGCCCCAACAAGTAAACAATGTGTTTACTGACCTCAAAAAAGGGCAAATCCAGTACAGGTGCAGAAGCATGAGCCCCACTCCAGGTTATCTCTAGGATTTTCTCTGATCTTATCCTAAAAACTATTCTGACATGATTTGACTGTAATCTCCAATACAACTGTCTTATGCAGATTAAATGCTAAGGTTAAAAAGACATTTATAAAAACGTTAAATTAGGAAATACTAGGCCGAATGAGCCAAGACCATGAAGCACACACTCATATTTTTTAACCTTTTTTCCCCATTTTCTTTTGCATTAACTCACTGAAAACTTTAAATGATTTCACTACAAGAGGACATTAATTCAAGGGATAAACCGAAGTTGTGCCAACAGTCCTTAAATCAAATTTAGACACTTTGTTACGAGCAGCTGGCTGCAAAGACGCATTATTTCTTCCATTTCTTTTATTGTGTCTATGAAAAATGCCAACACGGTGACTCCCAGAGCTATCATCCGGAAACTTGGCATATCTCATGGTGGTTGTGAGTATGTCTAAAACATTTGAGGAAACCAGACAAATGGAGGACAAACTATAAGAAATGTCAGGCCTAATAAAAAACTACTGACAGCAGATTAAAGATGCTTTATCGAGCATTAAAGTTGGATGTAATTGTAAGAACTCTGTTTTTGTCTTTTAAATGATGTTCCCATTTATGATTAAATATATTTCTGTCACTGCTTCCTGTTTTTCTGGCAACATACAAAAAAATAAGTGGTGTCCTAGACACTTTGATGTAAAATAAACTCCACTATAAAAATGAAAGCCTGGTTGCATTTTTTCTGTTGTGAAAGTTGTAGTTCAAACATCAGGCAAAAACTAATTAGCTGCTTATCCGTGTTTCTTAGATGCTCGGTAGAAATGTAAACTCAAAGTGGAGGTTTTGGAAGACACGAGAAATCCTGCTTTTAAGGGCCAATTTTCTCAAAATAAACAACGAAAAACTAAATATGAACATAAAAGTGCAAAGAGTTCCATTAAATCCAAATCTTTCAAAGGCCATCATTTAGCATTAGTAGCAAGAATTTCCAATTTCCCTACACATGTCAACACTTAAAAGGAAATGCACGTCCATAAAATGGCCTCACAATGAATAAATATCCATCTGTCTGAGGCGCGTCTCACCTCTGGTGGAACTGGATCCAAACCTGCACAGTTCTCGTTGCATTTGTCATAGACGAGGCGCAGCTTGCGGAAAAGCACAGAGAGCATTCGTAAGTGCTCTTGGAGTTTTCCCAGACGGTCCTGGTGGGTGTTGGGATGGTAAGTGACTCCATTAGGCAACTGCGACAAAGCACACACAAACTAAGGTGTTAAGGAGTGTCCACGCTAATAAAAAGCAGCATTTACAGAGTCCCATTGGAGCCAAAAGAGGTGATCAATTTTGCTAACCGGTGATAGACCGTCAGAGCCCTTCCAAGGTAAAGTATCTGTTGCCATTTGCAAGAAGAACAAGGGAAATGCTTTAACTTAAAAGTCAGAGTAACTGCATTGGACAGACAAAAATAAGTTTAACTTGCTTGTGTTTATGCAGCACTATGGTAATAAGTGTAAATCACAACATCAAAATCACGATTCTAACCACTAAACAAACTCAGCAGCTTGAAAAGAGAAGGCACTTTCACTTTTGCTGAATGTTTAAACTCATGCCAGGGACACATAATTGGCTTTTAACTACAATGGGTGTTAAAGAGTAACAACACACAGTTGTATAGAGAGGATCGACAAGCCTCTAGGGCAGTGCTGTCTGATTATAAACATTCTACAAAACATGCACAAGCTTGCCTGCAGGGCAAGAAGAGCATAGGAAGAGACGGTGGAACAGAGTGGAGACAGACAGGAAGAGAAAAAGAGTGGGAGTCAGGATACTTGAAGAATTTTTATAAGTTTAACAACAGCTTCAGATCCCAAGAAAACAAGTCACAACAATGATGTTTACTGCTTCTATGGCTGTGGTGTGTTGGCTTATTGGAAGAAAGTGCAGGAGGAGCGTCCCACAGAAGCAGACAGACGTACATAATAAACTCAGGCTGACCCTTTAGGACAAGGCTTAAGCTGGGATACATGGTGGAACCTGATGAAAAACAGGAAATCGTTGAGACTCAACTAATAATTGACATGTGAAAGAGTAAAATGAAAAATTTAGATATCACACACAAAACCACAAATACCTCTGATGAAAAAAACAATCTGCGTTGTTTATCTACGCAGATTGTATGCAGAGAGGAAAAGGAAATAGTTTTTTGTAGCAAAAATGATGACCACCTCAGCCCTTTCTGTCTTTTAAACAAACAATAGTAACATGCTGACTGTTTCTGTGATGGGAAATCATCAACTATTATGAGGACAGACAATAAAACAACACATCTTTTCTGGTCTAACCCTTTTCATATAACTTAATCTAGAGGACAGGTAATTAACCAGTAATAAATCAGAAAATTATAAGAAATTAACATTATTCATGATAATACAGGGTGAAAATAAAAATGAATTACATGACGATTTGTTGAAGATTGTTTAAGGCCAATAATCTAACACAGAAAATCCAAAAGTGTGAGCACTGGTTTAAATCTGTCATACAGTGTTTTTTAAAAAAAAATTAAGACATTTGTTGAAAGACGAAACTCACTTCATATCTTTTTCGAAATATTTTAAGATTAATTTGTCAGAAGCGTTTCAATGGGGCAGTTGGAAAAAAATTCTAAATATTTGAAATGGACCGGAATTACACAAAAAAGGGGATTTATTCAGGTTATTGAGACCATCTTTATCAGGAAATCAGCTCCAAACTGCTTACAATTCATTTCAAGTTGTAATGTATGTAAATATATTTGGAACAACAACACCAAAAACTTGTTTGTCTTTTAAAAAACTTTTCTTTCCAGCCTTATTTGAATCTTAAAGTGCAGGGCTCGAAATACTAGCCACTTCATACCCAGAAGCTTTAACTCTCTTGTGTCTGCAGGATTTGAATATCTTCTAGCTCTTGTCTCTGAGCTGTGCCAGAACAAAGCTGAGAAATCATGGGGCTTTTTTCCCTGCAGATCCAAGTTTCCAATCTCCAGTTTGGAGATCGCACATCAGCAGATCCCTCAGACGAACGGGCTTCCTGACAGACATTTGCTTTGTTATTTGCATAATATCAATCAATCAATCAATTTTATTTGTATAGCCCTTTACAATACCCAAATGGTACTCAAAGTGCTTTACAACAAAGCCATAAAACAATACAAAAAGACATACAAAACATACAGAAATAACAAAAAATGCTGTAGTGGTGCAGTGCTGCAGGGCATTAAAAGCCTTCCAGAAGTACGTAGAAAGGAGCAGATAGAAAGAGGACACCTAAGAGACCCTAGTCGGAATTAAATGCTAATTTAAAAAAGTGGGTCTTAAGCTTTTTTTAAAAAAGGCTGAGGTCAGTAGTGGTGCGGATGTCAGGGGGTAGTTTGTTCCACAGTCTGGGAGCAGCGACGGCAAAAGAACGATCGCCCCACAGTTTGAGTCTATTCTAGCTATTTTAGCATTAAACCTGTCAACACCACCAATGCCTGTTCCTCTATCTGATGTGATTTTTCCGCTGATAAATGCTTTGGTCGCTGATAAAGGTTTTGTTATACCCACATTGTGTCATAATTGTTATGCTTTTGTATTACTGTTTTAGGGACAACGGAAAGCACACCAAAACAATGCAATATTATGGACAGAAAAGATGTAATCACATTTGACAGGCTTTTGGGCTTAGAGAGAGGGCGACACAGACCTGCATGTTCCTTAGGAGCTGAAAGATCTCCATCGTCCTGAGGACGATGTCTTGGACCGTTTCCTGGCCAATGCGACACAGCGAGGCCGTGTTGACATCTCGAGCTGCCTGGGCCTGCTGCTGTTGCTGCTGCGGAGGCGGCTGAGAGCCAAAAGGTGACACCAGGGGAGGGGTCGTCATTCAGGCAGCTGGTGAGGATGATGGTGGAGCACATACAGGGCCAAATGGAGCTACTGGTCGGGCTGATCCACATCAGCACACCTTTACATGCCTTCATTGAGGGTGCAAAGGGGGGAAAAATAAAGGAAAATTAAAGATGAGGGGTAGGAGGATTGTGAAGCTGGAAGTTGATGGGAGTCTTTAACATTTCTTGCATGATCAACACTCATGTGAGAAGTTTACAAACAGCAACAATGGGCTGCAAGTTTTGACAAAGACTTTTGGCAATTAACTCAGTTACAATATCATGGCTGATAAAGTGCTATTTTAGCTATCTTAAAGCTTCACAGCTGTCACACATTAGCGAGAATGTAACAGCTGACACAAATAAAGCCACTGTGCTAACGTTGTTGTCTCCTTAAAAGGTTACACGCGTGTAGTTTCTAATTGCCTCGGCATTCCTCTCTATCAGTGAATATTGTCTGATTTTTATCCTTGACTTTTAACAGCTCTCTCGGAAGCATTCAGCCTTGTAACGGGTTAATTAGTTCACATTTAAAAGTGAGTTGCTGTCGCCTGAGCTAAGCAGCCACGACATACAGCACCTTTTTTTTCGTTTATTTGTCTGTGTTTTCGCCGTAGCAGCACAACAAAAAAGTCTCAACGCAAAAGCTGTTGATGTGTATTTAACGACGGATGAAACGATGTGCAATGTTACCTGCGTTGTGGTAATTTATCTCTTTTGTTGACATGTCAAGCACCCAACAAGCTTCCTCGAGTATCGCGAGATTTCGACCCGACACCGCGAGTGGAAGTAGTAAATGACAGAATAGAGTCGCCAAGTCTTTTTTAGTGCCCATTTCCTTCATGCGCACAGTTAAATTGCTGGGGATAATAACAGACTCTGTCAAGGTAACAGCGCCGTTTACTGACTTATTCTTATAGCACAGAATTGTCATCACACGTCATAGATCATTGGCCCGAGGTCTGTGAAAAACTCATGCTTCTTTATTCCAGCTTCTACTCCATATTGATTCAACTCCCTGAATCCATCCATATTACCTTGCACTGTACCATGGATTAATTTGTGAGCTGTCAGGAATTAATCAAACTGAAATACAAAAAAGGGTATAAGAAATAGCACATTACACTAGGCTGCTTCTACAAGGTTTGATCTGCCATGCAGCAAAATTATTGCTCTGACTTACAGGCTCTGGAAATTAGTGCTTTACTGGAAATGGGATGCCTTTGGGCCTGAGTGGGTATGAAAAAGGTATATTAGTGTGCTATTATTTAATTCACATCATTCATTTAAATGATGTCTAACTCTTTCCCATACCTCTATACACCTTCTACTACTCTTTCTGCACTCTCTTTGCTGTCCCCACTGATTCTGACAAGGGATTTTCCCATAGAGATCTTATAACTGTAACATTGTGTCGACATTGTAAATTGCTTTGGATAAAAGCGTCTGCTAAATGCATAACCATAAACATAGACATAAATCCAAGGACACCACTTCATTTAAATTTTGAAAGACATTTTGTTATTTGTATCTTATCTTGTTTTTTTCTTTCTTTCTTAAGCTGCAACCTGCAATAATGATAATTCACTTGACTGCCCACATGTTTTTAATTGCGGAAGGTTTGCAGGCTAACTAACCAGGATGAATGAGCATTACTCTTGTAGTCCCATCTGCTTTACTGCCAGACTTACTGAAGCATATGGAAAACATGTCTTCTTGGAGTAATTAACTGTGTGGTGTTAGTGTTGATGTTGAGTAGGTACAGGCAGATAGTAGGAGGAGTCATTTACTTCTGCTTTAATGCTAAAATATTAAGTCATGTAAAATAAAGAGTGTTATATATATAATTTTATTATACTCATTCATCTTGTCCCTAAAAGACCATGAAATTATGGTGAGTACAACCTCAGATGAAAGACTACAGGTGACAAAGGTGACAACAATTAGCTATGAAAAACACAGCAACATTTTGTGGAACACATTGTACATCTTTACTACTTCTGTTAGAGCCAAGAGGATAAGAATCGTGTGAGTGCTGCCCAGCAAGTCAGAGAATCTCTTTAACACTATATTGTTACATGTATCATTTTTATACATACAGTTTCGGATATATTTTGCATCTGAGACCATTTGCATCCTTTAATGATAAAAACTGTGCTCAAAACCCCATTGTACACAACTGAATATACCTGATAATAGTGAACAGAAGACTACATGACAATAATTTTAACTTAGTGTGTGGTAATAGATGATGAATATTAAAAATTATTTGTTTTTTGTTTATATTTTGTTAAAGGGCCAAATCACTTTTTAAAAATGTTTTATTCTCTCTATTCTCTCTTGGATCAGGCTTCAAAGGGTTAAAAGCAGAGGTTTCATAAGGTTGCTGAAAAGACATCAGCATTTATCTCAAAGAAACATGTTGCTTTATCAACCTGAGGAGCATTCTAAAGTTTCTAAGCATTGTAAGTTTTAAAAAATTAGGACTATATCATGCAACAAAGATTATTCTCGTATGGAGACATTCACAAGAGTTTTCTATGTTCCAAGGATCTAATGTTCCGGTAAATTCAATCCCACCTCAACCACAAGTCTTGACTGCAATTATCAGAAAACTGCAACAATAACATTAAACTCAAGAACTGCATCTGAAAATCTGCAGGATTTCATGTCACCACAGGATCTTTTGGGATCTGTTAAATCTAAACAAACCAACAGTCTTTTTGAACAATGTTGGAAAAACAAGACCCAAGACCCCAACAGCAGCACATTGGGAGAAAACAATCCATTTTCTATTCCCACTTCTCCCAATTTAGGGACAAATCATCCAGCAATTGTTGGGTGAGAAGTAGTCACACAGGAGATTGGTCACCAGTCAGACAAAAACAAAACATTGCACATTTAGACACACTCCTAGGGTAAATTTAGAATAAAAAAATAACATAACATGGAAGATTTCAGGCAGCAGGATAAAGCCAGAATACCTAAAGAGTACCCGCATTGTAGTGGGAGGGCATCCATGTTTCACACAAAACAGCCCAGGTATGATTACTCACCACCAGGCAGCCTCAATGAACTCAAGTAAAAAAAATCTCCCGAAAATGTCCCTTCAACTGGGGAGATTAGAAAATGCAAATGTGGTGTTTATCTGCAAGCGTGTAACGGTGAGACAGATGGTGGTGAACAGACAGACAACAGCTATAGGAGAAAGAACTGGTCAGGGAATAAAAGGTAACAAAAACCTGAATGTGAAGACTGAACAGCTCTGTGAGGAAACACAAACCATGGACTAATTATTAGCTTAGGGGATATCAGAACTAAAAGGGATTATCTTCCCACCTAGTGCATTACTCATGTTTTAATTGAATATGCAATGCTCTGGTTCCCCCAGGGATGCGCTGAAATGGAGAGACCCGAGTACAATGGTTTCCTTCGAGGGCAGCAGCATGTAGAGTCCATTCATCTGCTCACAGCAAATTCTCCTCCGAAGAATGAGATTAGTGGTTCTGCTGAAGGTTTAATCAACGGGCGTCAGCAGACAGGCCTATAGGAGTTAAGAGGATCCTCTTGTGCAAGTGCATTTACTTGTTAGAAGTGACATAATCTTGGACGATGATCTATTAAGAGTTTACCCCCCCCCCCCATATCACTGATTATACATTAAGTGAAGACAGGGACTTAGTAAGACAACATGATTCAAATTTAGGCTCTTTAAATATGAGTTGACAAAAAAAAGTTACTACTGAAATCCTTTGTATGGCAGAATCATTTTGATTGCTCAAATCTATTTTGGTGACGGTTGAAAGATTTCCCAGTCATCATGAGTACTGCACATAGGGCAATACAAACACAGTATACTGTATGTGGTACTTAAAAAGTAATTAAATTTCTAAAAACAAAGCTTTCCAGGTTCCAAAAACAAATGTTGCTTTTGTGTAGTAACTGCACATTACAGCAGTAGTGACACAAGTAAAGGTGAAAGATGAATAGCATGGTGGTGTCAGAACTCGAGCCAAAGATCATGATTCTTTCAAGAATGGGAGTGCCATTGATTTCCTATGAATTGTAGGCCTGGTTGGTCCCCTTCCCAAAGGTCACTTTTCATTTGTTCTTGCAATTATACATAACCACTAATGCTATTGTAAGATGTCATTCAAAATACAAAGACCCAAATCACCAAATATCCATTCATTCCATTCAACTTGAGTTGATTTGTCAAAAAGTCGATATGGACATTTTGCAGCTTTTGTGAAATGAAGACAAAAGTGAATGCAGTGTCACAAAGGACTGACTTGTGACACCTGAATTTTTGGGAGCCAAGATACAGTATATTTACAGAAAACAGAAGGACGCTAGATGTTCAGAGCTTTGTTGCAGAAAGTATTTTGGAAGACACACTTCAACTGGCTGATTCCTCTATAAAAAACTATTAAAAGCTTAAAAAGTGCAAAGATATTCAATTATCACACGATGGGCCTTTGACGCATGCCATACTTTCCGTCTTGAATACTTTTCATATACTTTGAATATAGGTCATTAGTGCCCAAAAAATGATTACACTATACTGAAATGATGCAAAAAATACTTTCGGACAGTCTTTCAGGCAAATGTTGAGAGATTTTTGGCTCCTTTTTCCTCATTCTACACTTCAAGCCATTAGGTTTACATAAATCACATTTGGTAACCACGCTATCCAGCATCCTCCTGCCTACTCCTTTATGAGAGTTTTATAGCTTCTTAAAATAAACCTTTCAGAGAGGTGCATCCTCTGAAATGGAAAAGCTAAATAGTTGTAATTTAGCACCACTACTTGCAGAGGTGGTACTTTACAGGAAATCTGGGGTTAGTTTCAAGGGCTTGAACAAGTCTGTGATCACTTGTGCTGAAACATATCCTGTTTTAACTCAGGAAAGCAGCCTATTGGGCTCTAACCTGTTCATGAAATGAATAAATCTAATTTTTTCTACAGTGTCTCGCCATAGAATTGAGTACTTATACATCTCTCTATACTACAGTACAGATAAACAAAGAATGAACCCTTCACATTGAGAACAATAACTTGGTTGGCACCGGCCAGCTATGGGTTTATTGTTATTAATGAGGTCCTTGACAGTGCCAACAGGGCTCAGGGAAACCTGCAACAACTCTCGCTGCAGGATGCCGGAGGTCAAACTCACACCATAAACTTATCTGTGCTGACAGCACGCCAGACACCGTCCCAAAAAAGTAGAAGTGTATTCAGAAATAAAAGACAATGAATCCATTTTTTGTGCCCCGTTACCCAGCAACAGAGGTATCCTGGGTGTGAGGGATCAAAAATCAAATAATGCCCAAATCTTTTTCTTTAAAAATGTATATTTTATTGAATAAATCACTGCTGTTTTATGCTCTTGGACACTTCATGGTGCACTGCATATGCAGCACTTCTCAGGTTGCTGGTATCAAAGTCGATAAATAGTAAAACAATTGGTCCATATTAATGCAGCCACTCAGCCTGCAGCCATGGTGGTGTCCTAACAATAAAATATGATGTTATACTCAAGTGATTGTTAGGCACCAGTCACAAAATAATAGTTTGAATGGATATGCACACATCAGTCAGCCGTAACATAAAAAAACCTGCAGTGTTCTGTGGGCCTCTCACATGCAGCTTAAACCACTTTAACTTGTAGAGCCACAGACATCAGACCCGTGAGGCTACACAGCGAGGTTTGAGTTGAATTTGAGAGGTGCAGGATTAAATCAGGTTGGATCAGGCTCGTTCCTGTGCCTCAAGCAGTTTTTGTGTTTCTCAATATGCGTCTGAGCAGAACGGAGTGGTGGAAGTCTCAGCTATCACTGAAAAATGTGGGTCCAGATCAATGTTTGGGTGGTTGGTGCAAGTCAGAGGGACTTTCAGATGAAAGCCAGAACCCAAGAAGTATGAACAGAGCACTGCATCGTAGCATCATCAGTGAGCGCTTTCACTATTGTGGCTGATGGATGTACTGTATATCTTTGTGATCACAGAAAACTAAAAAATACAAATTAATTTTAAAATATGACAATGGACTAGAGATGATACTTCAATTTCAGTTACACAACATTTTTAAAAAGATAAAATTGTGAAGTTTATTGAACTTCACAATAGTGAATGATTAGATTTTCTTCCCAAGTCATTCACATTCTGTGCGACCCTTATTATTTCAATGTCAACATTTGTATGACTTAAACACAAGAGTAACTTCAGAGTAATGCAAATTTCCTCATTGATCTTAGCGGAAAAAAAGCCCTCTGTATGCCGCTTTTATAACCACTTGCGAGAATGGCTAAAACCTCTCTGAAAGGATCTGACAAGTAAACCTGCCAGGGACTACTGCTTGGGGTTTTCACATAGAGTACATCCTGGCTTTAGGTCTGCTTGTCTCTCCATTTGGATTGTAATAGAGTAAAAGTTGTAGGAGGAGAAACAAGCCTGCGTCATTTCTCTTAGAACAGTCTGAGCATCCACTGTATCATCTGTGGAAGATAAAAAAGACAAAGAAAATAGCGGTCATAAAAAAAGTTTTCTAATGATTTTAAGAAGATTTACTGACCGTTAAAAAAGGGCTTCTAACCATGCTCAAAATATCAAACTGATGGGCAACACAAGTCAAGTTTTGATGATTTTACATATGGTTCACCTAAGACAAACTGGGATTCAACATTAAAACTACATACTAAGAAAAGCATAATTCAGAACTGAAGTTAAAAAAAAAAAGCATGTTTATGCAATTCATCTTTAGATTTACACTTAAGTCAAAATCCAATTAACTTCCATAAAAATCTGTTTGAAACTCAAAATTTGTAACCCAACATAATCCTCACCATCATACAAAACACTGTACACTTATTAAACAATGCTCAAAGGGCTTAGGAATTATCATGAAATTAGATCTGGCATGAATTTCAGAAAAATGTACTTTATATCATCTTTAAAGTCTAAATTTAGAATGGGTATCACACACAAACAGGCCAAAATTAACCAAAGCATTAGAGACAAGTAAAAAGATTCACTTTTAAAATCAACAAAACCTTTTTTTTTTAAAGTGCTTGTTTGTTAGAAAGACAGCTTAATCCACACCTATGGACAGCAACATTAAGTCCAAAAAAATAATAGAGAAAAATAGATTTTGCTGCAGGGTAAGAGTAGGTTAAATCGAGTAAGCTTTTTCATTCATTTGAAGGCATGAGATCTGAACTGGAGAGACCCATTTATAGAGAAAGTTTGTAAGTGGGACTCATTTTAAAGTTGTTTGCTGTAAAATGATATGCAAAGTGGGAGAAGAGGAGGTTGTTCCATTAGAACAGGGTGCTTTCACTCACCTATGGCTACATGTGCAGAGAGCATAGCCTGGTTCATGGTCAGAGCCCAGATGTGCAGGTTGTGGACAGCTGTGACTCCCTTCACTGCTAACAAACGATCTCGCACCTCACTGTACTTCACCCCTGACGGAGTGCCTGGACAAGATCGAAACAGGTGTCATCTCCTCAGCTTGGTTTAAACACTATATTAGGCTGGGGTGTTGGCTCAGAGCTCACCTTCCATAAGGATGAGAAGGATGTCTCTCATGATGGTGAAGGTGGTGCATAAAACCAATATGGAGAACAAAAAGGTGCAGATGGGGTCCGCTATTTTATACTCCGGCTGGAACAAACACAAAATGCAGGAAATTAGAGTTACAAAACATGTTTAACAGCTCAAATACAGCTCTTCAGAACCATTTTCAAAGGGCACAAAAGCTCAGTGTCTTAGCAAAAAATCTACTCAGCTTACAAGGAAAAAAAGGGTCAAACTACACCTCATTAAGGAACACAGGACAGAGATGATGAATTGGCTCTTGCATAAGAGAAGCTAATGATTTGGCGGTAATGAGTGCACGGGGAAAAGATCTGCAGCACACTGAAAGCATTGAGGATTAGGGCAGACAGACAATAAGCAACTGAGCAGCATCATTCCTGCTGAGCACAACGAGACTCATCCTCACACTGGAATCTGTGTAGTGAGAATAAAAGAGTGCTGTGAGCTAAAAATATTTCACCACATATTAAATGGAAGCACCTTTAATGAAGCACCTGTTTCAGAAACATTTTAAAAATGTATTTTATTGAAAATTAGTCAACCAGTAGCAAAATGTTCCGATATTCGTTACAGATGGACGGTAAGTATTTTGCTCTTGTTTTTGTTATATCATTCTTGTCTCTCAAAGCAAAAAACAGGAATATTAATCAAAATTGAAGCAGAAATTAAATTTTGTTGACAACAGACTCAAAAACACACAAAAACACACAAGCACTGTCATTGTAAATCATTTAAAGCAATTGTGGCATATTTACAGTTCAAAATGAACTGTAAATCAGCTTGGACTATTGTTTTTAATATAGAACTTTATAAATTACATATAAATGATGCACATAGCATCACAAATCCAAAAGAAGTCCTTATGTCATCTAATTTGACAGCTGTTGGATGTGCTGTCCTTGGTGCTGAACACCTCAAATAGCTGTGCATCATTGCTTTTGCCCCTCATGCTTTACTTTTTTTATAACTCACTGTATCATTAAAAGCCAGAACATGCGTGTGACTTCCTAATCATTTTCATTATCTGTTTCTGTTGTTTCTATTACTCAAATTATGCAGTCAAACAAGGAATATTAAGCCCCGGAGCTACGTTAGCAAAACGGGGGGCACCTCGTGTTTTGTCTCTGCTCTCATTAGTCACTTTGAAGAATTGAACAAAAAATATGATTTAAATACAGCTCACAATCCCCCCCAAATCTATTTCCACAGCACACTGGAGGCCATGTAAACCATGAGGCTTTACTTTACCCAAGCTGTGTGAGCATAAAACTCATTGTTTGAGTATTGAAATGTGATACATGTGCACAAAGCTCCTGCTCTGACATAGAGCCACCATCCACATGAACCGTTATGCCCCAGTGACTCTCTCAACCTGGCATGTTACCTTAAAGAAAATGATGATGGCGCTGACGAGCACGCTGATGCTCTGGAGAAGATCTCCCATCACGTGCACAAACGCCGCCCGCACACTAGCGTTGGCCTGCTCAGTTCTCCCACCTGAGATCATAAAAAATAAAAAAAAGATAGCTTTGTGACAACGTCCATGATCACATTTTAGATTAGAGCGAAAAGCAATATGAATGTTCGTGGAACATACCACCATTTTCCAGGTTGTGCTCCGTGTCCACGCAGTCATCGCTGAAGTGGATACTGTTTGGCGACTTTTCTTTTCCTCCCTTGTGGCTGTGGCTGTGTCCGTGGCCGTGGGAGCTGAGCCCGCCGTGACTGTGGCCATGGCCCGACTGGTGAAGGGTGACGGCCATGCTGTTGAGACACAAACACCCAGAAGTTTGGCAATAAATCCCACCTGACATGCAAGTCAGACACAAAATCTTTTGAGGGTTTGTGAAAGTTGTACAGCCCTGTGAGCCCTGTGCCTTGCATGTGTATGAACCCACATTAAATCAGACATATTCAAAAGGGTGCACTGATAAAATCGGCAGAGAATGTGAAATCGTAAATTTGACTCACACAATGTTTGCAACCACTGCACAGCCAGAGGTAATAAGCATGATATTGCCTTCGATGGTGTAGTCTTCATTGACAATGCGCTCCACAGCCAGATACACCAGCACTGCCGTCACCAGCCAGATGGTAAAAACTGACAGCAGCGCACCAAGGATTTCTGCACGGTGCAAAAAATAAATAAGCAGGAAATAAATCAGGAGGTGCCATCAACAGACAGGGGCCTGTTCTGGATAAACTTTAATGTGCAGTTAAAGGCTTTTTAAATTGGGGAAACACCAGCCCATTCCTATTTAAAATCCCAAAACAAAGTGCAAATCTATCTATCTAAACTGATTTCCTCCTTCAAATGTACTGCGCAAACTAAAAGCTTTTTTCTAAATGCTTACTGGATTGCATCCTGCCCTTTGGTTAACATTTGATATGTAATATTTTACAGCAGATTGTTTAATTCCATATTCTTTGCGATTCTATATTGAAAGACTCTCTGGAACAACATTTTAAATTGATCATGTTATTGATCTACTGTCAGTGGACTGACGTGTTGTTTAATGTGTAATGAGAAATATTCTGCTATAATTTGCAATTAAGTGCCTACCGCTGAATTAAAGTTTTACTTGTATGCCCCCTTTTGGGAACTATGTTGATGAGTACCTATCCTATGGCGCTGTACCTGCACGGTGCCAGCCAAAACTGAGTTTCTGTGTGGCAGGTTTTGAAGACAGCCAAAGAGAAAACAAGCTTATGATGAAGCTAGTTAAGTCGGTCAGCAGATGAGCAGCGTCCGTCATTACAGCAAGGCTTCCTGCCAAATAGCCACCTGCAGGGAGAGGTGCAAAGAGGGTTAATCCCAGGATGGTCATTTATTGTGCGGCATGAAAAATAAATGACCATTATTGGTCATTGACCAAATATTAACACTATGGTGTCAAGACATTTACATATACACACACACATATGTACTGCATATAAATATATAAAGTTCGTTAGGAGCTAAATGACCAAACTGTACTGCTGACATGACAGCTTTTAGAGAGAAGCAAAGGCAGTTGGAAGGGGGGAAAGGAAAAGGGGCTCTACAAAGGAAGTTAATTGAATACGACAGATGAAAAGGATGTTAAAGAAGACAAAGAAAGTAAAAGGTCAGTATTTAGAGGGAGCGAGGTCACGAAGGGGGACAAACAAAAGTAAATCTTTGAAAAATGGGCAGATGTTAAAAGACTGAAGATGTGTCAGATTGAAATGGATGGTACCAGAGAATGAAAATAACATTTAAGAAGAACAAAAGGATTCATGGATTCCAGAAGAAAAAGCTGGGGAAAACAGCATGACTCACCAACAATTTCACCGATCATGAAAAGCAGGCAGATGACAGAGACCACATACAGCCTCCTCCTGGCAACTTTCTTCTCCCTTTCTCGATCGTCCTGTGCATGACTGTTGTCATGGCAATGCTTGATGCCCCCATTCTCATTATTGTGTAACTCTCCTTGATTTGGCACACTGTTCAAATAAGATGTGGTAAAGTTACAGATTACAGTGTGAAAATGAATGAGCAAAGACCTGAAAACAGAGATAAATCCACAAAAATCCCCCAAAAACAGAGACCAGCTGGTTTGTTCCGTTTTCAGCTTTTAACATGAGTGTGATCATCAGGTTCAATGTAAATTACGTGAATAATCCTTTATGAGTGTTTGTGTGAAGTTGCTGACGACCCAAAAGTATCTTGCTTTTATTTCAACCGTTGTCGCTCAGTGTGCATTTTCAATTCCACTGCTCAGAAAAGATTAGAAGAAAGAACATTTATGAGCAGTTAAGACTGGAGTACCGAGAACTCGAGGTCATTCTTTCGCATGTATAGAATATCTATAGAATATTTTCTATGGATCGCACATAGGAAAAATGCTAATATTCCTAAATGATATCTTTAATTAGAAGTTTAATTAGAAGTTTGAGTATTTCAGTGAAAATGTGTTCTTATTGAGCTCACTATTTCCATTATTCACTTCTGCAGTACAACATTAACATATCAAGTTTATCAAGTCTATTAGATTTACTTGTATAATGAGTTATTTTCCCTGCATTTTCAGAACAAACAGGTATGGGATGAAATACATAATTTAAGCGAGACACCGAAGGTTAGTTCAGCATTATCCAATACAGACCTTTGTTTTGAACCCAAATTGACGGGATCCTGTGGAGACGCACCGTTACGAAAAAAGAACAGCTCACACAAACAATGGAGGGTGGATATTTGCAATAGTAAAGGGTGTGTTTCAGCTGGCCTTGTTTTAACTGTTGAATTTGTGCTTTAACTGTATTGTCACAATCCACGTGATGCATTATGCAAACGTTGCATTTTACTCTGATGTTTCAAAAACTGGATCACAAACCTGATGTACTGTGTGTAGTACAAACCAGGATATTTGCTTAGTGATAAAAATGCCAATTGATTGTTTTAACAATCAATGGGCATTTTTATCACTAAATTCTTAGATCTATTACATCTCTTCTGTTTTCAGAATGTCCCCACTTTTTCCAGAACGTAAATTCATGTTGACATTGTAATGTGATTGGGAAACTTAAAGTATCTTGTATGCACATAAAATCCTTTTAAATTTTATTAACCAACATATTTCAGAACACTGTCACCAAAATAACAGACGATGGGAATCTAACCTTAAGCCGTATGACATTAAGTTGGAGAAGATGGATGGATATCTCTTCAGGCCGTAAACATTTCTCCTGTTGTTTTGTCCATATCAGAGGTACTCTGACCTAACAGTTTTTTTCCCTACAAACCCTAAGTATTTATGGTTTGTAACTTTAATCCTCCATGTGTTCCCAATAAGATTTCTAGATATCTCATTTTCGGGCAAACAATTGTGAGGTTATTTATTTCTATGCAAAGTATCAATCAGTGTTTTTAATTAGCCCCATTGTCAGCTGCATTAAGATGCCTTGGTCCAGGCAAGAGAACAATTTAAATCATTCCCTAAATAGCACAGGAGCCTTCCACAAGAAGCTAAACTGTTGCTTCTTTAGACTGCACTTCATAAAGTCTTAGCCCATCTCAGGCGTTCAAGCGCTTGTCAAAAAACAACCATTAATCAGATGTTAAATGTGCCAAATCAGCAGAATGAAGCGCACGTTTGCGCACAGCTAATCCCGTCAGACCCGGGACACCAGTCCCGTGTGGAAAACCCAGTGACTCACAGAGGAAGGAGAGCACAACACGA